CGGGAAGGAATCAGGTCCCAGAAGAGAAGTGTGAGCGCGACGGGGTGATCATGCCTGGGAAAGAGGAGCGCTGTGGGATTATCCCGAACTGACAATGACATGATTACACGCCAGACTACGACAGGAGGTGGGAAAAAAGCTTCTTCGCAACGTGGTAAAACAGAAGCCAGTCTTGCAATAGCGACAAAACCAGTTCAGAAAACGCATTCACAGTTTTTTTTCTGAAATTGCAACTAGGGAGCAAACGGCTTGTGTTACCGACCGTCATGTGTGACATATAAGATTAGACTGTATAGGGGTTACGACTGACCGGGAGAGCAAAACACTGTTTGCTCTCTAGTTCGCTGGAGTGTCCGATATATCGGGCAGATGAGTTGTGTTTTAGCAGAGTGGTCAGTTTTAAGAACATCTGGATAGCCTACAGATCACCGCCGTCAGGCTGTAAGTCGTCCTCACAGCCTGGTCTTCGATCCCTATAATAATCAGTATCAGCTGAAAGTCCGGCACAAGGTCCTAATGGCTAGATTTGGCAGTCACCGAAAGCGACTATCAGACAGAAGGCATGCTTAAGGATAAATAATGTATAACTGTAAGTTATATTGTTCTCTAATAATAAAGCACTCGTCTCTCTATTTGGGTTGTCAAGGTAGCTCAAGCATACCCATGCATGCCAGTCTTCCCGGTATAATAGACCATGGTAAGCTCAGTCAGATTTGAAGTTTTGATTACACGAACTTGCGCGATGGACTTTGGCGTGGAGACCTGTCGACTAAATGACCTGCTGCGCCCGCAGAACACTACGTAACGTTGGAGGATATTTAAAGCGCGGCGAGTTGCTGACTCGTGGACGCAAGTACAGGTTAGCTTTGTTCCAAGGGATTTGCGAGCGTTCCATGCGTTCACCTCTGTGCCCTACGAAACCAGCCAAACTGTAGCAAACGAGTAACCACCTTGGGTTGCGCCGAAAACTGATTCCACTCTCGCTGCACACGCGTTTGACACACACGAGACGGAAGTGGCGTCACTTCAGTCATTAGTCCGTGGTAGAGGGAGAACCGTTGACCGCGAATAATCTCCTATGTCATGGCGAATCGGAACACTTCTAACTATAATAAATCTGACGCGTTTGAATTTATCACGGTGCGTCAGAAGGCGGGGCCTCAAAGGGTTTCACCCGAGGGGATACTTTGTTCTTACTCATGACTGATGGTCAGGCGACAAGGGTTCCTTCTTAATAAGGTCTTTATGACATTGTCACTGCGTTGAGAGCCGAGATC